ATTTGACAGTGTTGAGGGAATTATTTGTTTAGTAGAGTGCTGGCATTCGGGGGAAAGCCTGTTCTTGGGAGTAGTGGGTCTGGTGTGCAGTGCTCTATAGAGTCGTTTTGAGGGTAGGAGTTGAAACAATTTATGTCCAGGATATGAGGGTTCTTGTAATATTTTCATAGCCCTCTTTTTGACTAGTGCAGTATACAGATCCTCAATGGAGGCAGATTAGTAGTAATTGTTTTTTCTGCAGTTCTAATTATCCTTTGAAGTCTGTGTCTGTCTTGTTGGGTTGCAGAACCAAACCAGTTATAGAAGTGCAGATGACAGACTCAATAATTCCTCTGTAGAACTCTATCCTTGGGCAGTTTGAGCTTTCTGAATTGATGCAGAAAGAACATTCTTTGTTGTGCTTTTTTATGATGTTTTTGACGCTAGGTGCCCATTTTAGGTCTTGAGATATTATAGAACCTTATTTGTCCAAGAATTGTCTTTATGGTATCATGAATAACGGCTGTTTAAAGATCTCTCTTGTGAAAGTGAGTGGGATATTAATCCTGGAAATTTTTAAAAAACCTATTTTTTAAATCCCTAAATAATACTAATCTTGTACAGAATATGTTTTGATTATGTTTACAAATTATTTCCTTTGCAATTCTGTTTACTACACAGCAAAGCTTGTAACCAAGGAAGAGAAATGCATGTAAAGGTATACAGTGTGTCTATACACCACACCTTAAAAACATAGATAACTTGTAGTGCATTTAGCTGTGAAAATAACTTGGAGCAAAGCCAGTTAAATGAGGGTGGTAAAACACATTATTTTAAACAAATAATTTACAACTACTAGTCTTAAAACCTGTTATTGAAAGTTGAACAAATGTTTTGCTATTGAACTTTTGAAACTTGACACCTGTTACTGTCCACACTGTTTAATTGATTGTAATAGGTTAAAGATTATGTAAATAAAAGCATTGCCAGGAAGGGTAATAGTATCTTCTGTAGTAAATATTGTATCTACTCACAACTAAGCAGACTGATAACCGTAGGAAGAAATGGGTTGCTTTATCATAGCTGTCATTCATGACACTACTATAATAGGTATTTTGGACACTAATTCTGTCATAGTGGCTTTGGACTTTCTTTAGTGCATTTTTTCTATGTTGTGTTTCCCAAAACTCTCAGAATGACAAGCCGCATAAACAAGCAGGTATAAAAATAGGGTAGCACTATAATTTAGCAATAGCACTTAGACTTATACACCGCTTCACAGTGCTTTACAGCCCTCTCTAAGCAGTTTACAGAGTCAGCATATTGCCCCCAACAATTGGGTCCTCATTTTACCCATCTCGGAAGGATGGAAGTCTGTCAGCTTTGATAAGCTCTGGTAAGACTCGAACCTCCAAACTGCTGGCAGCGGCAGTCAGCAGAAGTAGCCTGCAGTATTGCATTCTAACCACTGCACTACCACGGCTCAGTATATGAATTTGTGCAATAATTTGCTAGAACTTGACAATGATACTCTTAGTTGGTCCTAAAAAGGTATTGCTATAGTATGGTGTAGCAGCAGCTGTAGGCAGACTTTCCAAATGATCTTATGAAGCAAATAGCAGTCTTAAAGAAAATGCTTGTTTATTGGATAGCCATGCTTATTTATTTCCTATACTTTTATGTCACACAAAATGCAGGTTGTGTGTGTTTGTGTGTGTGTGCATTCAGTATAGAACTATTAAAATATATAAAAAATGTGTTTTGGGCATCAGAAGAAAATATTGCATTCATCTTTGAAAAAGCCCTGTAGTTCATTTTAAAAATCTGTTCATTTTTGGAGTTGTTTGAGTTGGTTTTATACATTTACTTTGTAATTTATAAATATAGTTTATGAATCAACCAAATGTTTGATTATACATTGTTTTGGGTTAAATTATTTTATATTTTTATTGTGACATGCATGTAGACAATTATTATGGAATAATATAAATCAGACAAAAATATATGATTCTACAGTCAAGACAATATTTCTTGTATTTTCAAAAGAATAAATGAAACAAACACATCAGAAACAAGTTTTATATTTGAATGTCTTAATAGTTTTCAAGTAGTCACATATACTGATACTTCCGTCGAAGAAAAAAATACATTAAATTACTATAGGTAGTAAAATCTATGCAAATAAACATATAAAACTAATTTTATGACTGAAATCAGATATATCATCTTTTGAATAATATCTTATATGTAAAACTGCAAATAAATTGTGTGGGAAGTTTCCACAAAGTCTATCAAAGCTGATGCCCATTAGGCTCTCAGTGCAGTCCTTCATTTCAACTAACGTATCTAAGATTTTTGGTTTTGAATGCAGTCGTTTATGTAGTGTGGCTTTTCCTACTTAGTCAAAGAAAAGAGGTCTGAGCGTTGAAGAGAAGAGAACTCGAATGATGGAAATCTTTTTTGAAACAGTAAGTAATATTTGTTGTCGCTTTCTATTACTTTGGATGTTTTTAAACAAATTGAGAATCTGATTTGAAAATACAGAGTTGCCAAGAGGACTGGTTAAAGGTCCTTGCTATATACTATGGTTGTAGTCACTTCCATGATGCCTAAGAGTAATTTATCATGTAAACTCATGTGGAAAAATGATCATTCAAAAAAGCATACCAATTTTAGACATTCTCTATGATATAATGAAATCATCTTGAATTCTACTCTCAATCTAACAACTGACCTTTGATAAATTGCCTTTTAATGTAAAACATTCCAAATATTCTAAGAAATTTATATAGTGTTTTATATATTTTATCTTAATTTGAGGAAAACTATTTTAGTATAGATAAAAAGACTTCGATGAATCAGGAACCTATAATTATTAAAGACATCCTAATGTTAGTCTACTTGCATCATGAATGGTGGAGCAAAAAGATGCATACATTGATAAATGTCTCTTTAATCTGGAATATTATATTTTTATGTGTAGAGTTTTGAGTCATATAATATTTCAGTGCTATAAAGACTATTTTTCATGTTAATATTTGTTTTCTTTGTATTTTATTTTGAATTGCATATGAGATTTATAAAGTCTATAAAAATATTTGGCTATAGAATGCTGAACAAAAGAATTTCATTTGATTTAGTGCTTTCTAAATTTAAAAATGAGCCAAACTAAAAGTTCTTACCTCACAAATATTTGCTTATTATTGTCTACTTTGGGTGGTTTTTAAAGATATTCCTTTACATGATCCTGCAGCAATAGTGCCATCTAATTTTATGTCTGAAAAGGATAATTTTAGAACAGAAGCAAAATACGCATTAGCAGTTATTGTCTAAAATGTTAGAATAAATGAAAAAGAAATACAGTAACTAGTATTTAGTAAATAGCAGGATGCAAGTACTTTAGAAGCAGAGAAATGCATGTGTCCTTTGAGGAAATGCAAGTGATCCGATGGTTTTTTTCATTCTTATCAGAAAATGTCTTCTAATAGTCTGGTTAAATTATTTTTAACATAGTTTTTCTTCTTTTATTCTTGCAATACATTTAGTGAGAGAATTTAGTGAGTTCAGTAATGTTTCTGTCCTTTGCTATAATAGGAACACATTACAAAACAAACTGTTTTCTTCTCACTTTTTTGGTATCAGAAAGATGTATTTCAATTAAAGGATATTGAGAAAATTGCTTCGAAAGAAAAAGGAATAAGTGAGTACCTAGACTTGATTGTTTCTAAATTTGAGTCATAATTCCATTTGAAGGGTTTTTGTTTTTTCCAAAGACATCATGTTCTTACTCTCACAGAAGTCTGAAAATTGGATCTAACCAGGTTTGATAGTTTAATTTAATATTCATCCTATTTTCTCACAAGCACAACCCTGTGGGATGAATTGAGCTGAGAAAGAGTAACTGGCCCAAAGTTAACTCATCATTTTTCATGTCAAAGATGGGACTAGAACTTACTGTCTCTCAGTTTCTAGACTGGTGCCTTAACCACTAGACCAAACTGAATCTATGTAAGACATTATTATAATTAGTTGTACAGTCAGCCAAATGTTTAAACTCAATTTGACATTTTTAACCACCGATCAAGTTGTTCCCAAGGACCTGGAATTGGCAGATGTTTTTGTTTGATGGTGTTAAAAATATTGTCTCAGGATGTAAGATGTTCCGAGTAAAGCTGCCTTTTTCAACTGACTGATTATGATTTTGTCAGTGCTGACAATATTAAAATGGTGCTGCAGATGTTTTGGGATTGCATATAAGGCACCTATTACTATTCACACTATCTTTGCTGCTTCTTTTTTTTTTTTGCCAGTCATTCTACTTCTATTTGCAGATGTTTACAGTTTGTGATTTTTTCCAGTTCTTCCTCTTCTATTATTCTAACTCCAAGTACTACCGCATCCACTATCTACACTAATTTTTATATTCACAACAATGTAAATTGCAGCTGCCAGCTCTTTAGCTGACAGCTGTAATTTAGCTCTTTAGCCCTTTTTTCATATCAAGTTTGTCTTAAGAACCTAGGACAGTGATGGTGAACCTTTTTCGCCTCGGGTGCCAAAAGCACACATACATGCGCTATCATGCGCGCTTGCAGGCCCGCCCCCATTGTGCCCCCTGTGCATGCACCCATGACCACCCCACTGCCCTGTGCATGCATCCACAGCTTTCTTGGAGCCTGATGAGGGTGAAAATGGCCTCCCCCCCCCCCCGGAAGCTGGAAACAGCCTGTTTTCTGACTTCTGATGGGCCTGGTAGGTCCGTTTTTCACCTTCCCCAGGCTCCAGAGGCTTTCTAGGAGGATCCAGAGGCTCCCCAGGCTCCAGAGGCTTCTTTGCCTGGAGAGGGCAAAAAAACGGCCCAACACACAAACCGGAAATTCGGGAATGGACTTCCGGGTTGCCCGTTGGGCCATTTTTCTCACTCTGGAGGCTTCAGCCTTCATATTAGGCTTCCCTAATATGGTAATTAGGTAATTAGGTAATACATACCTAATATGTATATATATATTGGGCTGATTTCATAAACCTGACTTAAATTTTCAGCGTGCAGATTCATTTCTTCTTTATTTGACTTCATATATTAAAAAGTGTTCTGATCTCAGGAGATGGGAAGGGTAGATCCAAGGGAAAATCAACTAGTTCAAAGGAGTAAATCACGTTGGATACATCAATGGGAAAAGTGATTTAAAACCAATGTTTCTTCAGAGTTCTTTTAGAGAAATAATAATGGACTGGGAAGAATTTGAAATTCCTCTGGATCTATGCCGAAGGTTCCTCTTGATATTTATTCTATGTACTAACAGTATTGGAATTGCCCCATTAGTATCTCGTTGTTCTGTTACAATCTAGTTTCTTACAAGAAAAAGCTATGTAAATTAATCTTTTTTGCTATTTGCTAAAATCACCGTGGCAGTGATTTTAAAGGAACTCTGTGTGTTGGGTTGCTGTACACGTAAGTAAGCCTAATTTACCATCTGCTATTTGTGGTAATTCGCAAAGGAATTGTTGACAATTTCTCAAAGGACATTCTGAATCTTTATTATTCTCTCTGATGTTTTAATGAATAATAGTTTCCCCTAATCTTTATAAGTTTTCAAAATAATAATTATGATTATTTCTTTGACAGCATCTATGTCAGTAAAGGATATCTTACAAAGCTTAGTTGATGATGGTATGGTAGACACTGATAGGATTGGAACGTCAAATTATTTTTGGGCCTTCCCAAGTAAAGCATTGCACACAAGAAAATGTAAACTGGAAGAACTGCAGAATCAGGTAATTCTACATGCTTCCTATTATGCAAATACAGTGATCATTAAATAACAATCTATTTCCAAATAAGTGTTTTCTCATTTAACTTAGTTGTGCTGTATCTTCATTTTGTTTAAGTATTTTACTATTTGTATTGTTTGAACTTATTAGTGTTTTTTCTCAAATATTTACAGTTAGTAGTGAGAGTTTTTTGTTCGTTTTGAGTCATATATACAGTATAAGCTAGTGACTAAATTTTAGATATTTGTAAAAGCTGTTCATTTAATAGCAGGCAAAAGACATATTTTACACAATTACTTTGTAACTGTAATGGTTTGAAGGGTTTAAATTTGGTTTGCACATTCTATATGTTTTATTTATTACATTATTTTATTTTTAAATTTATTTATTTATATACTGCTCATCTCGCTGTTTATTACTTGATTCCAATAGCCTTCACTATAGTATACTTTTTGGATCTTTTTATCCATTGCCACAGTTAGCATTAATACATGTATTGGAATTAACTGTTAGGGAAGCAATAAAGGAATGGTTCCCTTTCAAAAGTTGTGCCTTAGAGGATGAGAATGTTTACATTTAAATTAGTCATCTTCATTGAGAGGATTTTTAAAGCAGCATACAACCATAATAGATCCTGCCCATTGCATTTGAAAATTGGGATGGCATTAAATGAACTACCTCACTTAAGGAGTCCCTATCCCTGTTCTCTCCAATGCACTTATTAAATGAATGTCCAGGTGTTTAGGTGGAATATGGGGTGTCTTGGGTGGGGTACACCCTAGTACAGGCACAAGCCACCTGCATCCAGTCTCCCGAGCCCCCCCCACTGAGATACTCTATGCTCCACATCCTGCCTCTTGGGATCCCATAGCCAGTTGGAACTCCTCTGCACCCTACACCCATCCCCCCAATCATCCCAATCATTTACCTTTCAAAGATCTCCAGATATCAAGATGTTGGGGTACAGAAGGATTATCTCAAAGTTTCATTTTTCTCAAGCTTGTTAGAGTGCCATTAATAAAGTTGAGGTACAGTTTTGCTACTTGTTTACATTTGTGGTAATTTGTAATACTATAGAAATGCAAATGCAGGTAGTCTTCAACTTTCAAAGTTATGACAGACACCTTCCTCAAAAGCTACTTATAACCTGGTTTAAAAATTACAGCCTCTGTAGCACTCCTGCATCATTCACCTTTAATGACTGATTGCAGGGATGTTGTAGCATTCAATCCCTCTGCCATCATCCCTTCAGCCATTCATCCACCCAAGGGAGCTCAGGCCATCTGCAGTGCACACAAAGTGGCTTGCAGGCCTCAAACCTCCTTACCACCCAGCCACCCAGGGACTTACAGGACGCAACCTGTTACAGGGCCCATCAGCACACAATTTGCCAGTGGGTGTTTTTTTTCTTTGCAGCTTCTGACAGAGGTGCCTGGCCGAACATAGGATCAGCTTTCTTACACAGGTAGCTTCATGACAAATTGTGCTACTACATTTTTTAAGCAGGCTCTAGATGCATCAGTGGGCCTAGCCAGCCAAAAACATCTAGACATGACAGGACAGGTAAAAGACCTAAACCTCTCAACAATGGAGGGGGATGACGAGGCCTGTACACCAGTGGAAGCTTAGGGACTCTCACATTCTCCCCAAACTGCCTGTTCCTTCCCATTTCTGCCCTTTTGGCTGCCCTGCATCCTGTCTTGTGGGATATTACAGAATCACATAGCTCTGGAACTTCTTGCAACATTGCAGTTCAGGGGCTTCTTGGCATGCCATGGTTTTGATGCTGCAAAAAGCCCATTAGCCTCTGTGCAGCAAGAAGCCCAGGGCAGCAAAGCAGCACAAAGCCACAGCTGCCCTGGGAAGCCAGAGCTGCCCCAGCCCAGTCCCAGCTGCAAGCAGCCTCACCAGCTTCCACTCCAACCCTACTGCTGCCCTCCACTCCACCCACACCCCCTCCCCAGCTGACCTTCACTGTCTTCTTGCTTCTGCTGCCAGTAAAGTATGCCCAGCCTGGCTCTTTGGGAGGCAGCTGCTGGCCACAGGAGGCCATCTTACCCATGTTTCATGAAGAAACTGTCATGCGCAATCTGGGAAAGAAAGTCTTGTGTGGCCAAAGGGTCAGGGTGGGAATGCTTGGAGCAAGAAGACTGTAAATGTCAGCTGCGGCAGTAGGGACTGCAAAGTGTAGGGGGCCCAAAAATCAAAATGGGAGAGGACATAGGGAAGTGAAGGTAGTTGAATTTCCCCTGCAGTCATAAGTGCAGGGTGGGCGGCCAGGCTCTTTAATTTTCGCCATTTGAAAAATGGTCAACATCTGTGGAGGGGTTGCAAGAGCCATAACTTTGCGGATTGGTCATAAGTCCATTCACTGCTGCTGTAATAATTGAACAAATGGTCCTAAATTGAGGACTACCTATTGCAGATTTAAGGTATGTGTGTATCCCTCAATCTGCAAACAAAGTATGTGCAAATAAACTCCAATATAATCCTTGAGTTAGAGCAGGAGTCCGCAACCTCTGGGCTGCGGCCCACTAGTGGGCTTTGAGCTGTTTGCAACTGGCTGCAAAGCTGGAAAGGTTGGGGAACTGAACTAGAGGATACAGAATTTTCAACTGTACTCTTTTTAATCCACAGAAAATGGAAAGCCCATGCCTCTTTCACCAAAAAATATTATAATTCAAGCAGAACAATTTGGCTTAATTCTGCTGTGAAGTTCATTATGTTTCCATTGACCTGTCAAAATATGCTGAGCCACACCCATAATAGTTTGGGCTAGCAGCAACATCTGACTGTCCCTGTCAAAAAAACAAGTCTCTTTGGGCTGGTGTAATTTAACTTATTTTGAGTAAAGTTTGCATGCTAACTGTGTAGTGGACTGTCCTCTTGGAGATACATGATCATTTGACAATTGTATTGACCATAAAAATAATTCTTATGTAAGAATGATTGCAGATGTTTAGTAATGTGTGACTTTTCCCGTATCAAATACTCTAATAAGACATTTGTACTGAACAAGTTTTAGTAGCTTTATTTTGTTTCTCTAACCATATTCAAAAATGTGTTAGTCTCTTTCAGGTGATTTGAAAGTGATTTGGCTCTAGTATCTTCTTACTGGCAGGCAGATATCTTCCATACTTTATTATTATCATTTTATTAAACATTAAGAGTTAAAAAGATAATTAATACAAACTAAAAAATAGAAGAAAAAAAAAGGTGCAGAACATGATGCAGTGTAATTTGATGATTGCCTTGTTTGTAGACACAGGCTCCTGCATATACATATTCACACTACATCAGTGTTCCCCAACCTTTCCGGGTTGGCGGCCTGGCACGGGGGGAGGGGGGAAGAGGGGATGGTTTTGTGTGAGGGGCAGGTATGTGCACATGCAGACTTATTTCTTTGAGCGACAGGCTCACGCAGCCCGATTGCAAATAGGCCACAGCCTAGAAGTGGGCAACAACCCACTTCTTGGGTTGCACTTGTACTACATTACACTAACATTTTTAGAGGGTTTGATCTGTGTTACACACTGATGAACATGGGAATATGAGAGAAAGCCTTGGAGTGTTAGGTTCAATAATCTTAATATCCAGAAAGCTTATTAGGTTGCCTTAACAAAACTGAAACGTATGTAAATAAAATGGAATGTTGTTCTGCTGAGCTGTTAGTAGATAGAGGGAGCTTCTTTATTGTCATTTTGTATAAGTAATGAACTTTTATATAAAGTTAGAACTAATGCAAGGGCTTTAAGCACCATTAATAACTTTATGAAACAGAGACCTGAAAATGTAGTTTTTATGAATGCCACTTATCTTAGAGAAATGAAAATTGGACAACCAGATACAAAGCTGTATTTGGATATTACATGGATAATTTTAAAAAGTTTGCAAATATGCTTTTTCTGTCTACCTAGTTGCTTTGCTGCCCTGCTCCTCTTAATACAAAGAAAGAAATATTTTTCCTTAGTTTTTCCTTTATAAAAACACCAGTATAAGGATTATTTTTTTACCACATGTAAATTACTAACTAACACATATTTCTTCTGCCATCTAGTTATCGAATGTTTCCTCCTGATCCTTGAATTTATTATTTTTTATTGGTTGAGTAGTGCATTACCTTCATAAGAGACAAATGCTTTTCTAGTGTCGTTTATTTCATTGCTACTCTATGCTGGGAGAAGTTCACCTGTGCTATTAAGAACTCTGGCTGCATTCCAGTTGTTAGAGGCCAGGAACTCTTGGTTCCTTGATGGGAAGGGAAGAACCTAGAATGTTTAAAGGTTAATATAGATTGCATCAAGGCTACTCAGAACATGCACAGTTTGATTTGCAGGAACAGTATAGCTGCCATTTCAGTGAAAATTGGTACAGTGTAGAGAAAAAGAAGGAATCATAAACAAGATCAGAGGAAGGAATTCTAGGATGACAGAAATATTTTCAGTAAGTAATATAAAAATGAACAGGAGCTCTCTAAGATTCACATATGAATAAAATAGCTACATCTGTGTTGATTACACAGATATAAGAAGGAAAAGTGCTTTGTTTAACTCCAAAATGAAATGGAGCCATAGTAAAACAATGAATATAAGAATCTTTTTAAAAATATGCTGAGTTTATATTTCAAAAGGTAATTTTAGCTATGCAATTTATTATGAATTAAATATTGCTAGTTTCATCGATAATAGTTCATTGCACTAGCCTGAAGTACATATTATTAAATTACATCTGGCACTATAGACATCAAAGCATCACTGCCTATGTGCTATCTTTAATGTTATAAAAAATGAAAATAATCTTTAGTGTTATCAAATATGAAAATAATAAAACAAAATTTTAAAGTAGAAATAATACTAGGCAATAAGATATTTATATTCCTGCTTAAGATGATGTAAAATTTTAGTGATATGTGAAGTCACACAGAATACTTTGAATAGAAATATTGTGATTTTTTTTAAACATTTTATTTTTTAAAGATTAGTGCCCTGAATCTAAGAATTAGCTGGCCCTTGATTAAATATTTGCTGTTAGGATTTAAAAACTTGGTAAAGGCTAGCCTACCCTAATAAAATTCTAGGGCAATGTAACTGATTCATGTTCTCCAGTCTATAGAATAAATTTACTATACGTATGGTACTATCAGTATGGTACAATGACTGAACTGGGGGGTGGGGGGTGGAAGCCAGCTGGAGGTTCTGGACAATCACTTCTTTCCACCCTAATCAGAGTTAGACTATGTATCAGGCCAGCTGATAAACAAAGCTTCCTTGTTGCTTCACACATAATTTTGCAATAATAATTATGTAACAACAATGCAAAAACAAGCAGACACTACAACTATGAAGGATGAAGGTAAAAAGGTGCTAGGTTTTTCTTCTTACAGTGCGATAGTAAGATGCTTACCAAATATGTATCTTTGATACATTTTAGACTGTTCACTTCTATTAGTAAGCAAAAGGTCAGACTCTTCAAATTTAATCATTAGGAATGCCCTGCTTTTATTACAGAAGAATTGTCTGATTGTAAATGATAAATATTATGTATATAACTTTCCTTTGGAAATTGAAATATAAGTCATATGGAAGGAGGAGCCAATGCCGCGACGAGATGGTTGTGTGGTCTCAATGCTCTGAGATCACAGCCAATACTTTTGCCACTGGGTGGTCCCAATGGACCTAAACCATCCCAAAGAGACGGTGAGCAGAAAGATTACGTCTTGCTGATCTCAGAGATATCGCAAAATCCTCAAAAGAAGCGAGACAAAAGCCGGTGACAAAAATTCCAGCCACAAGGCTGACAAAGTTGGGGCGGCCCAAAATGGAAGGTTATGGAAAGAGAACGTGTTTTCAGATAGTGAGGAATTTTTATTGTTTTAAAAAATAGTCTGCCTATAAAAACTCAAATACCAATTTAAATTACAGAATAGAAGAACCAAGCGGTGGAATTGAATTTGGAATTGTTTTGGACAGTGGTTATCTTACTTTTTAAATGTTATTTACATGGATCGAATCTATGCAAGCCTTTTAAAATGGATGAACTAAGTTTTCTTCTTCTCTCTTTGTGACTCTCTTAAAGTAGTAGAATAATACTCTTTGAATATTCAAAACGGAATGTTTTTTCTTTTTTTTTTCATGGATTGCTGACTTGGCACCCTAAGGCTTTGTTTTGGCTACACACTGATAAGAACACAGATGTCCCTTTGAAATTTGATCAGAGGGGATAAATCCTTTAACCTAGGGTTGCTATGTTTGTCAAGAATGACACAATACCCAGAAAAAATAGAGGTCTTGACTTTGCAAGATATACTTTCAGAACTACAGAAATTATTAAATAAAGAAGAGAAATAATTGGAATACTTAGAGCACATAACAAGAAAATATGATGAAAAAATTCAAAATGTTCATCAAATGCAAAATGGGATGATTGAAACTCAAAACACCGAAGTGGAAAATGAATATAAAGAGACCAAACCTGCTGATATTTAAGGTAATTGGTTTGTTCCTGAAAATGAAAAGAATGGAATACAGAAAGAGGAATTAAATGGAGAGGAAACTCCAAGGGCCAAGAGATAGAAGAAGATAAAATTAAAGAATCTATTGACTTAAAGAAAGAAATTCCACTAA